AGTATTGCAACTTCCGGGTAGTTCACTAATTAACGGTGAACTCCCGGACCGAAAGTGATCTCAAAGAGACCTGATCTTAATACAATTCAAAATTCGTTCATTATCATTATTGCAAAGATTGTTTTAATTGATTATCGTTAGGAAATCATTATTGCAAAGATTGTTTATTGATTATCCTTAAGAATTATTCTTTCGTATTAATCATTAATTAAATTTATTGATTAAATAATTCGTTATTATTCTTCTTATTACGAATTTTCGAATTGCTTACGGGAAAATTTATTTTTTTACTGTTTGATTAGGTGTCTTAGTCCATCCTTGGGACAGGGACTGCATATATATTGCTTGATCTGTTCTATCCCTGTGCCCACCCTCTCCCTCAAACTGTTCTGCGATCCTCCGGACGAGCCAGCCTTCAGCAACAGTTCCTGATGCCAGCAGGGCCAGCCTCCGAACAGCAGCCACGACGCAGCAAGCGGATCGCCGATCGCCAACAGCAACAGCAACAGCAACCTACAGTTCTACAACCGCCACAGACCAGTACTCAGATGGCGAACACGCCACACAGCGGATCATTATCCGAGGGTTCGACAGCTAGTAATGCCGAACCCTTACCGGTCTGTCCGGTGCGAGAGTCAAATGAGCCCCTCCCGGACTTCATTCAGCGAATGCAGAACTATACAGCCGCACTCACTCAGGTCAAGGAACATCAAGAGGCTGCCGCAGCCGAAAGACTACGGCTAGCAGAGGAAGCTGCAGCACAAACCCGGCGTCAAGCCGAGGCAGACCGCTTGGCGATCGATCAGCTCAACGCCGGCAGCGCTGATCTGGTAAATGCTAACCAAGCACAATGGACAGCGGTGCTCAACGGGATGCGTTATGTCCCGGCACCCGGCAGCGAGCCGACAACAGTACAGCAAGAGAGGCACGACTTGGCAGATATTCTACTCCATACAATGCGCGCCGTCATTTGGAACAGCTCCATGGGGGAGCTGCATTCCCGGTAAACACTGCAGCTGCAGCACGATCCGAGCCACAACGTGAAGATACTTGCAGCAGCTGTCAAGGTCGCGGACAACCAGTTGAAACAGCTGGATGCACGCATTGCTGCCTTGGAGGCAAGGCCTCCCCAAGCAGCGCCAGGCTGCACGCCAGATATGACAAACACAACGAAGCAGCTCAATGGGCGCATCGATCATGTCGTCAATCTCATCGGCAACATAGGTGTTTTCAATGGGCCGAACACAATCAGTAGCACGGTGGCCGCCATCAAGACGGACATCACCAAGCTGCAGACGAAACCGGACGCCACTACGAAGAACTACAAGATGCCGCCCTTCGACATCAGCAAGTTCGACGACCACAACAAGACGGACGCTTTGGCATGGTGGCAACGTTTCCTCACGGAAGCATCATGCCGCACTGTCCCGGACGACTATCTGATGAAGGCGTTATACTTACAACTGATTGGAGGAGCGCATGCATGGATGAACCATCTGGCGGCTACCCACACATGTACCATCGCCGAACTTCACACGCACATCACGTGGAAGGAGTTCGAGCAGCTATGGTTCACCCGTTTCATGGTCCGCAACGTCGTGAAGGCGGCCATGAACGAGGTGTACACCTGCTCTCAAGGAAGTATGCCAACTCGAGACTGGACAACCAAGTGGCAGAAGATAGTGACCACACCAGGCTTCGATTTGACTTTTCCTAATCAACGATCCGAGTTCTTCTCGCGATCGTGCGCAGGATTGCGGTCGGCACTCGGTAACGAGTACGACTATACCTCGTTCCAGGCTATCCTGGATCGCGCAAACCTTGTCATCCAAACGGACAACAAGGCCGCTAACGAGAAACAATCCCAACCACATTATGTGGCTAAGCATGGCTATCAACGTCCGACACATAACAATGCCGTAATTTATGAAGAAACAGACGATCTCCACGCTGTAGCAGCATCCTCGAGTGATGGAGGAATTGTAGCAGCGCTCCCGCCGAAGCGTCCTAAGAGGGTCCGGAAACCCAAGGCGACACAAGAGACGGCATCGACGGGAACTGGGCAGCGGCCATGGACGGCCTACAACATCACCAAGGAAGTCTATGAACTTCGTCAAAAGTATAGATATTGCCTTTGGTGCAATGGAGTCATACACTTGACTGCACAATGCCCCGAAAGGGCAAGGCATGCGTACTCCTTCCAGCAAACTTGGAAAACTGAGTCACGCAAGGAGAGGGGCGACGTCTCTCCTCACTCCGCCGAAACCGGTTGCCTTGCTAGCAATCGATGTCACTACCGGGGAGCATGCGTCAGTCGCTGATTCTTGTGCTACGTACGAGGATTATGCCGCCCAACTGGTACCACCATTAGACCAGCCAAGCCACGTGCATTTAGCTAGCGTATGCGCAGCCTGTACACCGTCGGCAAGTGATCCGGTCAGTTCGCCACTGATTTCCGAGGACTCGACGGCGTGGTCAAGACTTGAGGAGCTTGACCCGCTCACGAGAGAGGACTTCGCTTGGATGCCTCTACCCTCGACCAGAACCTTGCCAAGGCCGCATTGCAACGCCTTGATGGCAGATTTACGCTCCTATTTGCACGCTACAGTACCAGCTCCGTTGACGGACGACGGGTAGCGATTGTTGATCTTTGCTCCTATCTTGCGAAGATTGACCGCGAGTATGCCACCCAAAGGTACGCCGAAACCGACACGCCTTTGCTCTATATCCGCATTCAAATCGGAAAGGCAACCTGTAGTGTCTTGATTGATTGCGGAGCGTCTCGCAACTTTATGAGCCAAACCTTTATGGCCCGCGCAGGTCTTGGCCCGCAAAGGAAGACGCAACCCACGCAAGTTACACTCGCGGACGGCCGCACGCAAAAGTCAATTGACCGATGCGTCGACGGCGTTCCAGTATACTTCGCGCCACTTGCGTGCGAGCCGGTGTCTTTTGACATCCTCGACACCAAGTTCGACATGATTCTAGGCATGTCTTGGTTGCGTAGCGCCGATCATCCGGTGAACTTCCATGACCGAACCGTTCACATCCGTGATCGGAACGGAGTGTTAGTCCCATGTACGGTCGCGACCCCTCACACTTCGATTGCTTGTCACGTGGTTTCCGTTGCGAGAATTTGCGACGCCATTGCTCGGAATGACGTCGAGGAGATGGGCCTTGTATTCTTGCATGCTCTCCCCTCGCCGGACGGACCAGCCGCGTCACCGCCGGACCCACGCATTTCTCACCTCTTGGACGAGTATAGAGACGTCTTCGAGGCGCCCACCAGAACGGTTCCGGATCGGCCCATACGTCACGAGATCACTCTCGAGGCTGGCGCCGTCCCTCCGCTTGGATGTATCTACCGCATGAGCGAAGAGGAACTCGAGGTGCTTCGCGGACAACTCGATGACCTTCTCGACAAGGGCTGGATTCGCCTTAGTTGCTCGCCATAGGGTGCCCCTGTTATCTTCGTCCGGAAGAAGAACAAAGATCTACGGTTATGCCTCGATTATCGAAAACTTAACGCACAAACCGTAAAGAACGTCGGCCCTCTCCCTTGGATTGATGATCTTCTTGAGCGGTTAGGCGGCGCGACGTACTTCTCGAAGTTGGACTTGAAGTCAGGTTGCCACCAGATTGAAATCCAGCCTCAAGACCGGTACAAGACCGCGTTCAAGACGCGGTACGGGCATTTTGAGTGGGTTGTCATGCCTTTTGGCCTCACCAATGCCCCCGCGACTTTCCAAGCAGCAATGACGACTGAGTTTCACGACTTGCTCGATCGCAGCGTCCTCATCTACCTTGATGACATCTTGGTTTACAGTAGGACGTTGGACGAGCACATCGTACACCTTCGCGTTGTTCTGGATCGTTTGCGACTAGCCAAGTACAAAGCGAATCTCGACAAGTGCGAATTCGCCAAGCAAGAGCTTGAGTACTTGGGTCATTTTGTCACGCCGAAAGGCATYCGTCCCTTAGMGGACAAGATCCAAGYCATCGTGGATTGGCCGGAACCCCGTTGTACGACGGATGTACGCTCTTTCATGGGTTTGGCTGGATACTATCAGCGATTTGTCGAGTCATACTCGAAAGTGGCCGCTCCTTTGTCGAGACTTCAGTCCCCGAAGGTGCCCTTCGAGTTCGACGACGCAGCCCGTGACGCGTTCACTACGTTGAAGGCAGCAATGCAAGCCGCACCGGCCCTCCGTATATATGACCCCACCCTTCCCACCCAAGTGACTACGGACGCTTCGGGATACGGTATTGGTGCGGTGTTGGAACAGTGTCACGAGGACGGTTGGCATCCGGTTGAGTACTTCTCCCAAAAGGTGCCTCTCGTAGACACTCTCGACAACGCTAGGAAGAAAGAGCTACTCGCGTTCGTCACCGTTCTGAAACGGTAGCACCACTTTCTTCTCGGCCGTCGGCGTTTTAAATGGAATACAGACAACAATCCGTTGACCTTTTACAAAAACGCAGGATATGGTCACTAGCACGATCGGTCGATGGATGTATTACATCGACCAGTTCAACTTTGACCCGTGCCACATTCCCGGTCCCGCTAATCGAGCTGCGGATGCCCTCTCACGACGGCCCGACTTTTGTGTCATTGTGACCACGGCATTCGACCTCGATGACAATCTGCAACCGCATTTCGTCAAAGGCTACAAGTCCGATCCGACTTACTCTACGCTTTACGCGGAGCTTTCATCGGATCACCCACCGGCTAGCCACTATCGGATTTCCGACGGGTTCCTTCTCCTTCACATGAGAGGAAAGGACTTGTTAGTTGTGCCCCAAGATCGCATCTTACGGACTCGTCTTCTCGGCGAATTCCACGACGCACGACTTTCGGCATACCTTGGCGTGAACCGCACATTAGCACGCCTCCACCAACGTTTTCACTGGCCCGATGTCCTTCATGACGTCACGAGGTACCTTGAGTCATGTGCAGTTTGCCACCGTAACAAGGGTCGATCTCGAGTCCCCTTCGGCGAACTGAAACCGTTGCCGATTCCTCGGGCACCACGCCTCTCCATTGCTATGGACGTGACAGGCCCGTTTCCCCGCGATCGACACGGCCATGACGGTATTCTCACGGTCGTTGACCGTTTGAGCAAGTATGCTCGCTTCCTTCCTTGCAAGTATCATGCTGCAGTGCCTGAGCTCGCACGACTCTTGCACACCGGTTGGATTACCAACCARGGTGTTCCGGAAGACATAGTGAGCGACCGAGATACTCGCTTCATGTCGGCCTTTTGGACTTCCCTCATGGCTGAGTCCGGTACGACAATGAAGCCGAGCTCGGCTCGGCACCCGCAGCGGATGGCCAGACGGAGCGAGCGCACCAGACCGCTCAGATGATGTTGCATACGCTCATCCGTCCCGACCAGAAAGATTGGGTTGACCGGCTTCCTGACATCGAGTTTGCCTAYAACACTTCGGTGCACCCGGCGATCTGCGTCACACCATTCGAGTTACATCATGGTGGAGAGAAAGCACGGATCTTTGCTGATCTTCTTTTGCCACAGGCTGCCGACATAGACGTCCCTTGCTCTCCTTCTTCCGTTCGGAAGTACTGGGACTTGCTGATCAAAGCCCGCGCAAATATGCAAAAGGCTCAGATCCGCATGCAGCAGCAGGCTAACCGACGTCGACTTCCACGTCCTTTCCGCGAGGGAGACCTTGTTTGGGTCCGCTCCGAGGAATTTGCGCTCGAGCAGAACGTTTCGCGCAAACTCCTTCCGAAATGGTTCGGACCATGGGAAGTCACTTCTGTCGTTGGAGATGACCCCGCAAGTCCTTCCTTCGTGATCAACATCCCACCACACCCTCCAGTGCATCGGGTCTTCCACGCGTCGAAGCTGGCCATCTACACGCCACCTTCAGCTGACGAGTTTCCCGGACGTCGATCACAGGATCCGCCTTCTATGGACGGACATTAGGAAGTTGACCGAGTCATCAAGCACCGCAAGTATGGCAACAAGCCAATGCAGTTCAAGGTCACATTCAAGCAATGTGCGCCTGATGACAGTCGATGGATCGCCAGTACAGATTTGCAGACTTCTGCACCCCTTATCTTCGCCGACTATGAGAAGCGACGCCTTGCTAAGGAAGCAGCTCGTCCCGCCCGACCCACCCCGGTATCGGACAGACAACTTCGCCCTCGCAGGTAGCTCGGTCTTTTAAGAGGGGGAGTGTGTTACATCTTCGACGCCACACGGGTCCTACCGGACCCGACATAGGGGTAGAGGGACACAGTAGGGCCAAAGGCCCGACCTTGGGGGTACTACAGGCCGTAAAGGCCCTACCTTGGACCAGACCCGACGGGCCGGCCCAAACGATATTACTGTTTGGGCCTGGTGGCGCTCTTGAGGCTGCCGCCCGCCGGTTGGGGCTGAACCGTCCATCTGGACGGTTCAGGGCACGGTCAGGCCTCGCAGCATAGAGGCCGACCTCTGCCCACCGGTACAAAGGTACCGGTCCAGCCTCAGTGAGGCTATCGACCTACCGGTATTCTACCGGTACGGTATGGTACAGCACGATACAGCGCTGGCGCTAAGTTTAGCGTAGGAGCAGCAAGGAGCAGCAGCGCAACATTAGCGCAGCAGCAGCGAGCAAGCAGCAGCAGCGGCGACTGAGTGTACCGGCGGCCATCGCCGCCTGAGGTATCAGGAGTTGGAGGCCTCTCTCCTCCCTCCCCTCGCCAGTCCCCTCTCTCTCTCTCTCTCTCCTCCTCGGCTCCTTCTTCTTCTTCTTCTTCTTCTTCTTCTTCTTCTTCTCTTCTTCAGACTCCATCTTCGTCTTCTTCTTCTTCTTCTTCTTCTTCTTCTTCTTCTTCTTCTTCTTCTTCAGATTGGAGACTTATACTAGTGGACAGAGA